GCTTCTATCTACACTAAAACAAACCTCAGTCCCCCATAATTCTTCCACTCAGTCTTGAAATGTTGGAAACCTTGAGAAGCTGAGTTTTATGTAGACATCCTTAGGAGTAATATGTACTTTCCTACGCCTGCTATCACAGCAAATTCAGGCATAATACCTAAGTAGGTTTTACCTTTCAAAACTTGATTGCAGCTTAATGACCGATAACTACCCACTAATATTTTCCACTTACTTGAATTGTATTGGACATAAATTAACTTGGAGATTACATGTATGATTTAACAACCAATCAGTTGGTTGGAAAAGGATAACGGTAGAAGAATATTGTCTGTGGCTGTGACCAGTTTCTCTGGATAAATTGGATGAAATTAGCCATTTCCACTGGCTACTCTTCCAATTCTCAGTCCAGTGTAACTGGTACTATCACCTTGTAAAGCCTTAGAAACACCACAGCTTGTTTGATGCCACTGATTTATTTGTCTATCAGGATTCTCAGTCATCCAGGGCACGATTGTCCCAAAGGTGCTTTTTTTTCATTTGCTTTCTTTGTTTTTCTTTGAAGACATTTTGCTTCTCATCCAAGAAGTTTCTTCAGTTCAGCTTTGATTCAGAACTGAAGAAAGTTCTTGGATGAGAAGGGAAATATCTTCAAAGAAAGTCCAGTCGCCTCTTGAAAAAGCACCTTTGGGGATTTCCTTCATTTGTCTTATTCATGTACTTCTGAATGGGGGCAAGTGTTGTCACATCCACTGTGTCGTCTTGCTAATGACACAAATGTTCCCTAACTCACTGAGGTCATTGCATGATTGAACTGGTGCAGTGATGTCCTGGTGCATGTGGTGTCAACATGGCTTTTACCAGACCTAAGGTCTCTTTTGCAGAGAAGAGCAACAAAAATGATTAGAGGATAGGAGAGTAAAACATTTCAAGAACGGCTGCTGGAACTGGGTATGTCTAGTTTGATGCATGGAAGGAGGACTAGGGGTGACATGATGGCAGGCTTCTAATATCTCAGAGGCTGCCACAAAGAAGAGGGAATCAAGCTATTCTCCAAAGCACCTGAGGGCAGGACAAGAAGCAATGGATGGAAACTAATCAAGGAGAGAACCAAGCTAGAACTAAGGAGGAAATTCCTGACAGTGAGAACAATTAATCAGTGGAACAGCTTGCTTCCAGAGGTTGTAAATGCTCCAACACTGGAAGCTTTTAACAAGATGTTGGATAACCATTTGTCTGAAGTGATGTAGGGTTTCCTGCCTAGGCAGGGGGTTGGCCTAGAAGATCCCCAAGATCCCTTCCAACTCTTCTCTTCTCCTCTGTTCTGTTCTGTTCTGTTCTGTTCTATTTATTCCATTCCATTCCATTCTTTTGTCCTCTCTGGGTGACCCCCATTCTATAAGGGTCTTTCCTACCACCACCATCTGCAAAGAGATTGCTGAACCTGTGATCTTCTGAATGGAAAGCAAACACTGTACTGTCCCTGTGCAACACAGCACCTGCCTCCAAATCAACTCTCCTGAAATGAGCAGCCCTTCTCCTTGGTCTTTTGAGCATTTCTTGGTTTGCTGATTGACTATCCTTTCCCTCCACCAAACACGGCTCTTTGGGACTTGGATTCCTCACAAGTAATTGATCAACCCTGACAATTTCAAAATAATGAAGCACCCTAGGGAAGGCATAAGAGAATAGAATTAATCAGGCACCCTCTTTTCTTTCTTTTCTCCTTTTCAGGAAGCTGTCACTCATGTGAAATTTGTCACAATTTTGGAAAAGATTGCGAGGGTGGGGTGACAGAGGAATGTGCCTCTCCAGAAGATCAATGTGGCACAGTGTTGCTGGAGGTTTCAACAGGTAAAAGCAGAGTGACCATTCCTCTCATTTCCTTCCAATAAAATGAGAATCTTTTCAAAGGTTTCCTTTTCTGGCTGAGTAACTTTCTCAACAGGGAGTCTGAGCTGGTGACCACATGCACAGTCCTTGTCCATACATATAAAGAATAGCAATAGCAATAGACTTATATACCGCTTTACATTGTTTTGCAGCCCTCTCTAAATAGTTTACAGCAGTTTGCATGGAAGGCTGAGTCAACCTTGAGCCTGGTGAGATTCGAACTGCCAAATTGCAGTCAGCTAGCAGTCAGCAGACGTAGCCTGCAGTACTGCACTCTCACCACTGTGCCACTACAGCTAATGACAGGTGTTTGCTGGAGAACAGCAGGGGGAGACAAGGACCATAATGTATACAAGGCCTTCATACAGGTTATGAGGATGTTTCACAATTGCTGCTCCCTAAAGCTTTTATAGGGACATGGTCACTCAGTGGCTAAGGCACTGAACTTGTCAATTAGAAAGGTCAGCAGTTCGGTGGTTCGAATCCCTAGCACCACGTAACGGAGTGAGCTCCCATTACTTGTCCCAGTGTCAACTATAAAACATGTATACAAAATGTTTTGAGTTGGCTATGGACGTTTTTTCATTGGATGATACACCCAGAGGGGTGAGGGGGAAAGCAGGATAAAAGATGACAGTGAATGATGTATCTCAGAGTTGGCCACACCCAGATTAGTGCTGGACATAGAATGTTACCACCAAATAAATCCTCTTTAGTTTTGGGAGTGTGGCTCAAGGCTCATGATTTAATTGGAGTAACTGCCGGAACCTTGACACCCAGCTTCTGCCAACCTAGCAGTTCGAAAGCACGTAAAAATGCAAGTAGAAAAATAGGGACCACTTTGGTGGGAAGGTAACAGCCTTCCGTGCGCCCTCGGTGTTTAGTCATGCCAGCCACAAGACCATGGAGACGTCTTTGGATAGCACTGGCTCTTCGGCTTTGTAACAGAGATGAGCACCACCCCCTAGAGCTGGAAACGACTAGCACATAGGTGTGAGGGGAACCTTTACCTTTTACCTTTAAAGCTTTTATCCTCTATCATGGTTAAACTGATAATAAGGTTTCCAAAACTCCATAAATCCATCTAGTTAACTTCTTCTTCCTCATTTTTCCTCTTCCGCACAGCACCTATTTCCACCCGAACCATTCATAGGAACTGTTTCTCATCCAGCCTCTGCAAACTTGAACGCTTTGATATAAATATTGGACATGATTCCTATATGAGAGGAAGAATCCACTGTTGTGATGAAGCAAAGTGTGAAGCACAGCAATTTCCTGGTATGTTTGCTCAGGAGGTCTGGGACCCAAACCCTCCCTATTTCAGAGGGTCATATGCGGGTTGTGTGTTTGAGACCAGATTTTCTTTCTTCCCTGTTAAACTTCCTCCCCTCACTACCTAACAATACATACTGATATAGTCCTTGCTGATAATCTTTTACAGGTATTTTTTTTTAAAAAAATCCTTTAAAAAAGTTGCTGTTTTTTCAAAAGGCAACTGGGCTTTCTTTGTTCTTCCTTGAAGAACAGAAAAACCGAACAAGCTTCTTGGATGAAAAGGGAAACGTCTTCAAGGAAGAACAAAGAAAGCTCAGCTGCCTTTTGGGAAAAAAAAAAAAAGCACCTTTATGACCTGAGCAGGAAAGTGAAGGGATGGAAATTGTATTTGTTTAATGTTTGGGTAATCTTATTTCAAAGTTTACAAAGCACCGTAAATGCATGCAATTTTGAAAATGGAGGCAATAGAGTCCACAAAATCCATGGACTTTTGGCACGAATGATCTTTTTGCTGATCTTTCACTTCCTTTTTTTTGTTTCGTTGTTTTGTTTTGCAGGACTGCCCCTCTCCTTTCCAAATGGATACCACTGCCCTGGCATTCTTGGTTTATTCTCAGTGGACAGCTCTGAACATGAAGCTATTTGCAGAGGAAGTGAAACCAAATGCATTAAAATTGCGGGATTCAGAAGAGAAAGATGTAATTATATTATATTATATTATATTATATTATATTATATTATATTATAT